AATAATACTGCAAGGGTGCCTTTAAGGTATGTAAATCTTCATTAAAAAAATCTATAGTCATTTTCATATTTCAGTAATTTTTCACCATCAATAATTAATTTTGCATTTTATACTTTATCATTTCAGGTTAGTGAATTGAAAAATATGGCAAAAAAAAACAAGAAGACATGAAAAGCCTACATTCATAATGTATCTCCAGTTAAAAAAACAAACACTAATCAGGTACTTCAAAATGTAATTACAAACCACTGCAGAAAATTTTCAAGAAACTGTTTTTCTGCTTTTAATCACACTGAATTCCAGAACTATTGAAAACCAAAGTCCAGTGAGGCTGAGCGATTTCGGTACCAATATTCTTATAAACTCAAAAGTTAAAATAAAGCAGTTGGAAGAGATACCATTCTAAATTTAGGAATTTATCAACCCAAAACATTTCTTTGCTTACTATGGAACGCATTTGGATTTGCACTGCACCACTTGTTAATTTTGCACTGCGCAACTCGACTTTCGCACTGTGCCACTTTAGTTTTGCACTGCGTCACTTGTGGCTTGTCCTTTTGGCGTTCCATAGTTTTCAAGCGTAAGTAACACTCAACTCGTAACCATAAAAGCTAAGGTTATACAGCTTTCAGGAACCAAAACCGTGGAGATCTCTAGGTCCCCGGTTCAATTTCCATCACTGCCTCTCCTTGTGTTTCAGCTGGAGGGCTGAAATACAAGTTACAAACGCACCGTCTTTCGGATGAGACGTTTAAGTCGTTGGTCCCCTGTGTGCATTTATTGCCCATGTGCACGTTAAAGAACGCAGTACACTCTTCGAAAAACAGTAGGGTATTATCTCCCGGTGTACCACCCAATCACCACCAGAAGGACCCCACTGGAAATAAGTTTTCTTCTAGACTTTTGTGAGCTAGCCTTGGTGTTTACACCGAATAAATCCAATCCAGTCCAACACAAGAAATGGGCTAAAATATTGCAGAATGTATGCTGATTGATCCATCGTGTTCCAGTAGGCCTAGAGTACAGACAACTATTTGGGGAAATTTTATTCACAAAATTAAACACCCAGACTGCAGGCGAAAAATGTTTGAAATGTTCAATAAGATGTCAATTTGCAAGTGATTAAAAGTTTTAAAAAATACGTTTTCTGTAATAAACCGATTTATAATTAAAATAAAAGCCTTCATTTTTATTTTGTTACAAAATCGTGGATTCAGGTTATACAGGCCTAGTTTTTAATTACCCTAAATGCTCGAAAGAGCGTCGTGGCTCTTAAGAGTATATGTTTACCTTGTGTGTAATTAAGCAATTGGGTTGTAAATACAATGTAGGGCCTATACAGTGTTAAGATAAATAAATAACACAATGAATACACAAGTATTTCTTTTTCTTTTTTTTTTGTATTAAAGTGTTTATTTACTATGACATTGGACCTATGATAGGCCTATTGTACTACGGGAATGTGAGATATGTAACATGGCAACGGGCATGAAAAGCGCCACACCGGTGGTATTTCTCTTTATGAGCCCGCTCTTGAATAAGCACCGCACTGAAACCTCCAAATATGTTTTAAGCGCCGCAGCGCTTATTCAAGCTTTTACAGAATAAAGACATTTTCTTTATTCCTAAATAAAAAGAAGTGTTAAAAAATTGTATTTGTAGATTTTATTATTCAGTTGACATTTATTATTAAGTTTTTTTCCTCATATTCACTGTTATTAATATTAATAGGCCTATTTTTGATAATTAAAATTAAATTATTTTAAAAATAAATGAAAATGTTTCTTTCACCACCCTGACAAATAGAATACATTAAAACATATACAAACCATACTAACAAAAAACAAAAACAAAACAAAACCAAAAAAATTCAGTAGCCAATGTACCTTTTAGGTACCTATTTTTCAATTAGTGGACGCTTGGCTTGATTTTTTTTAGGTTCGTGTGCAAAAAAAAAATTTCTCATTTTTTCATCACCGCGAAGACATTGTGCACCGCGATAAAAATTGAATTGTAATTAAAAATTACTTTCGTATAACAAGCTTAATTAAAACCGAAAGGTCCACTGATTAATCTCAGATAAGAAAGTATAATACATACTCCAAGTATTGAAATACACGCCATCGTGTTGGGATTCAATATTTCGACATTAATTATGTCATCATCAGGAAAGCTTAATTAAAACCCGAAGAAAGTTACTTCAATTTCAATATTAAGTATGAACAATTAAGGAATCGAATTTATTCGCGTGAATCTAAGCGTCGGTTCGCTTCCTGAGCTCTGATTGGTTGCACATTTTTTTCGCTTCGATAGAAATGTAAATGCGCATGCGCATGAACCGATGCTTACGATTCGCGTGAATAAATTCGCCTAGTGGAAAACAAGCTTAACAGAACCTAAATCGAACTAAGATAAGCCTGTTTTCCAAAGTGTGTTGACCAATGACACAAAAAGCAAACTGAGAGCATAGGTCTCGAACTCACGATTGCAAACTTACGCCCTACACCTGATGCTAAAATATTTTTAACTACATAATTAAAGACTTAACTTTTACTTTAATACTTACACTGCATATGGTTAACAATCTCATTGTGTTCACTATCGTCCTGAAAGCGAAAATGAAACATTTATCATTGATTTTTCCTGACCTGTTATGAAGGCCTCACTGATAGGCCTATATCCGCAAAGCATAGAAATAGAGGTGGCTTACGAGATTACAAAGAAGAGGAGTAACAGAAAGAGGTGGGAGAGATTAAAATAAGTAAAATAAGAGATAAAGAAAAGTAGGTCTATTGGGCAGGATATTTTTTACCTTGAGTGAATTCACATTCTTTCTGTACATAGCATTTATATAGTAGTGGATTTTGGAGACTGAAACACAACTGAATGAGGCGACCACAACAGACTGAATGAGGATGAACGAGATGCTTATCAAAGAATTTATTAAAAAAAACAAGAAGAATAGTGTTCTACTCACCCTGTTGCAGGTCGAAAATGTCGACCAATATACGTAACTACTAACCTTTTGCTATTTAATTTATATAATCACGTAAGGTTATCGATTACAAGCTGAAATTAGCATGCGCTTAAATGGGTTTCGATACAAATCATGAAAGTTTCGACTATTATATTAGCTTGCCTACGAAAAGATAACAAAACAATGACAGAAATACATAGTCCTATACAGATAACTTTCACCAAGGCCGAGATTGTAAATTATTTTGCTTACTTTAGTTCTGTGTTATTGATTTGCTTGTTTTGAACTTTACTTTTAAAACGTCAATGTTCTTTCATATTTGTACTTCCTCTATTTTCTTTTATACACAAAAATGCTGAAGAGATTCAAGTACACTTGACGTTCATGTTTGTAATAACCCAGTGTATGTGGCCCAATAGTGTGTAACGGAGTATAGGTGCAGGCGTCTATACATTTTAGGATTTAGGCTCAAACACTTTTAAGATAGTATAATACATATATCTCCAAGTATCGAAATGCACGCCATCGTGTCGGGATTCAATATTTCGACATTAATTTTATCATGACATAATTAATGTCGAAATATTGAATCCCGACACGATGGCGTGCATTTCGATAGACCTACTTGGAGTGTATATTATATTATCTTTTATCTGAGATTATTATTTTTTATATTAAACTACCTTTTTTGTATACTGGTACTGGCATTGGTAATGGTCATTTATAATACGCCTTTCCCTTGCGGTTATGAAACGCAAGACAAGCATCAATAGTTCATAAAAACAGTTGCAGATACAATTGGTCATCACTCAGGAACCCCATGCATCACAATGGTACAGTCAAACAGACCAAATAATACAGAATACAACAAATACAAAATGAAAATACAGAATTAGAAGAGAGCGACAGTTTAGGCAAACAAGTCTTGAGTATCGCAATATTTTGAAGAGTTTTAATGAAATTCACCAATCATGTTTAAGGCAATTAGTAAGATGCAATCATGTAATGAATTTTATTGGGTTGAATTTAATCGGGTGAGCCCAAAGGATAACCCACGAAAGTCCAAATACCTATTTCCGGTGGTCCTTCTGATTGGGTAGTACATCGAGAGACAATCCCTTTCTCATTTTCGAGGAGTAGGCCTACGCTGGTCTTTAAAGTGCATAGTAGTATGGATCCGGAACCGACGGTTAGAGTGTCTCATCCGAAAGACGGTGCTTTTTTTATTCTTGCATTTCAGCAGCTCTTCAGATGTACACTCACATATAGTAAATTGTTTAGGCCTAGACTAGGCCTGTCTCTTATACACGTGATGTTTATTGTAAATGTTTATTATTATGTTTCTTGTAATTGTTATCCTGTAATGGTCTTTTTTGTACAGTATTTTGAATGTACAGTATTTTGAACTGTATTATATTTGGTAGGAAAGCTTGTATATACAATGCTGCAATTCAGCTTCGGCTGCTACTGATTGTATAAATTGAATAAATAATTTGAAAAAAAGATTTTAACCAAAATATCTCTACGGTTCAGTGCACACATAGTGGCTACATCCGCATAACCGACTATGCTGCTCAAATGAGGGTGGTACACTAATTTAATCACAATATTATAATTTTTTTTAAAACAGGAAAGAAAAATCAACAAAAAAATGTCGGAAGGCTTATTTCCGTTAACTGATAACCACTTAATAAAATTAATAAGCATGCTTTAAATAAGTACGAGTGGTAGTTTCAAAACCGTTCCAATAAATTTATATTGGCAAATTTTGTATTTGTGTGCTAGGCTACTATGTACACGCATTAAAAATGAAATGTGTACTAAGCCTGAGTAATGACTACTGATATAGATATAAAGCTTTGCTAGATCAAAATTAATTCCAGAATTTTACTTTAACAACTTTATTAGCCATAATTTCACCTGTGATAGGTCTAATTTCATCACTTAATATTTTAAAGTATTAGCATGAATTTGATTATTATTACAAATAATGTTCATATTAAAGAGCCAATTGTCATCTACTAGCAAGTTATTCATTAGATACTATAACGCGACTTAATTTGTTTTTCCAGATACTAATAACGCAGAATCGTCAGCGTACAATATAAATTTAAAGTTTACTGCTGCCTTCATGTTATCAACTTACGATCTGTTAAAAGACAAGGGACAACAGCAATTACAGTAATTAACAAGGTCTTATCTGTTGTCTACTGCTGCTATGGCAAAGGTCTACTGGCGCTAAGCGCTGCACGCAGGTGCTCTACTTCTTGTACCGCTGGAAGTCCCCCAGTGAGTTTGCGAGACGTTGGCGGCGCTGTTTCAAAATAAATCCAATAAATGGTCTAAACAGTAGAATTTTGTCAGACCAAGCATCAGATGACTACGGAAGCTTAAAGTGACCTTCCGCGTTTCCGAGTTTCCAAGATAATTATCATGGAAACATGGAATAAATACTTATTAAGACGTCTTTCCGAGATAATTTATCTCGGAGACGGATTTCCGAGATAATTTATCTTGGAAAGACGGAATTCCAAGATAATTTATCTTGGAAAGACAGAATTCCAAAATAATGTATCTTGGAAAGACGTCTTTCCAGTTTAATTTATCTTGGAAAGACGGAATTCCAAGATAAGGTATCTTGGAAAGACGGACGTCCAAGATAAATTATTTTGGAAAGACGTCTTTCCAAGATATGTTATCTTGGAAAGACGGAATTCCAAGATAACATCGAGGAGACGAAATTCAAAATTCAAAGATAGCCTGAAAGCTGTAGTAATTATAAGGAAAGTTGAGCTACCTGTAACTTACCAATGGATAGGCCTATATTCAATTTGTGAATATTGTTGTATTTCATTGTGTGTTGTTCTGTATTTTCACGCATTGTTCTGTATGTACGCATCAACATCTGCTTATTAAAACGCATGAAAAATAGGCCTACGTTAATTGTTAATGTATAAAAATTAATTTCGTTTTTTTTGTGCCCAAATTTGTTTACAAAAACGTAATGCGATAATAGGATATTGACTACTATTGTATATTTTCGGAAAATATTTCAGCCGCTCCAAATCTCTTTCCTATTCTTCCTTTATTCTTTCACAATTTTGCGTTTTAATCATATTTTTCATAATTTTATACACTCGCATATAGTAAATTGTTTAGGCCTAGATTAGGCTATACCTCGGCTTGGCTATTACTCTAATTATTTAAATATACAATTTTGATAAATAAGATTATTTTAACATTGGAAATTTAAATGTAAATATAATGACGTTAACGAATAAATAACAATAATTAAAACGTGTACATAGTATCACTACTACAATATTAAGATTAATATTTTTCAATTTTATAATCAATTTTATATAGCCGGGGTTAGTATTGACCTAGGCTACTATGGCTAACGACAGGTACGCTTTCTCCAATAAAGGCCTTTTCTATGAATGGATTGACCTGTAGGAAACACGAACTCCTGAAGACCGAACCCAGTACCGTTACGATTTTAATCGTGCAGGAAATATCCTCAAAATGTATCTTGGAAAGACGTTTTTCCAAGATAACCTATCTTGGAATTCCGTCTTTCCAAGATAATTTATCTTGGAATTCCGTCTTTCCAAGATACGTTATCTTTGAATTCCATCTTTCTAAGATACTTATCTTGGAATTCCGTCTTTCCAAGGTCAATTATCTTGGAATTCCGTCTTTCCAAGATACGTTATCTTGGAATTCCATCTTTCTAAGATACTTATCTTGGAATTCCGTCTTTCCAAGATCAATTATCTTGGAATTCCGTCTTTCCAAGATACGTTATCTTGGAATTCCGTCTTTCCGAGATAAATTATCTCGGAAAGACGTCTTAATAAGTGTTTATTCCATGTTTCCAAGATAATTATCTTGGAAACTCGGAAACTCGGAAGGTCACTTTAAGCTTCCGTAGATGACAAATTAATGTCTATGATTTAATTCCTTGATTATATACAGTAATCAATTAATTAAAGGAGACACTTAGCTATTGAACGTACCACGAATCCAACTACGCTCCCTGTGAGCGCTAGGCGGCGAGCGCATTATTTTCTCCCCATACACTTAAGGCAGAAATTACAGAGGGCGCTATTCTAGGTCAGTCCGGTAAACTGATATAGGCCTACATGAATATGCATGCCGACTTGCCCTCGCGAGTACGTACGTATACACATAGACTATTTTTTTTATGGTATACAGTACACATTTATTGTGTTTTGTTAGGTTTTTTCTTTTTTGAATCTTTGATTATTGTTTTAATGCTAATTTGTATTAATAGGCCTACTACTTAAGTACTGTAATAGTACTGTATTCTCATTGTTTCGAATTTAACTTTACTTCGATAGTGTAACACTGTTTATTTTAGTTAATTTCTCATAGTTACTAACCTGAGAGATTTGAAATGCGTGACTACACCGTTTGCGGAGGGGTGTGTGAAGAGTGGGGAGAGGTCCCTGTTTGAAATAGATTTCAGGGAGTGTTTGTTAACAATACCAGGTACGGTAAATAAACAAAAATATTTTTGATAAAGCCACGTACAATTTGAGTTTCAATGTACATTATGTTTAATTTGAGCACCCGAACTATGTACACAAACATTTTACCTAACAAAAATGAATAGGCACACTGATCAATTTCAGTGAATTAAGTATTCACGTAAATACTGTCTAATGACTCAAGTTACTGCATGACCGTTATATTTTTCATAAAACCAATTTCTTCTATTTTTAAATACATTTCCCTCTGAATTTGTAATAATTCGTTATCACGCATAGATCTATGCTAAATGCGTGACAAGTTTATGATCACGCATGTGTTTCTGCAAAATGCGTGTTTCAACCAAAATCACTTTGAAATGCGGGACCGTCCCGCACGATGCGAGACGGTTCGTAACTATGATTTCTAACTTGCTTTTTGCTGCAATACAGTATGTTTAAACAGAGAACAGTGAAATTTCACATTTAAACGTTCTAACCCTCTGATTTTTATTATCATAGACCCTAATTGATATTTAAATTTTGTATTATTTGATGTAATTCTTTTCTTTAATAATTTTTGTTTTCCTTGATGTTTCTGTTTAACATTTTTTTTTCGTTACCTATTTTGCATTTTGTTCACTTTTGTTGTTATTTAATTAAGTAAATTTGGACGCACCACTGTATAGTGTGTGCTACTGTTGAAAAAGTGGGCGCAAATAAAAAAAAATGAACCTGAAATAGAGTCGCGAAAGCAGTGTTCGCTGCTTGTGGAATATGAAATTGCCTGTGATGTGAAAGTGTATACTGTAGTAAGGTAGGCCAAAATCTCTTGGGAGTTGGTCGAGACAGTGTACTCGACACAGTGAAAATTAATGGACTAATGTTTAGTATTGTAATTATATTATCCCTATGACTAGACACCGTTTACGTACAGCATGGTCTTTGACAGTTTTATAAAATCAGCGTTAAATCTGGTCGGTTATTTGAGTAATGCAGTAATATATAAACAAAGAACAGTATGGCATACATACAATATACCAGGGAATTGTTTTGAAGAAATTTCTATGTACAGGATTGTTGTAATGTTCTAATTTCTCACAAACATTTCGTTTATATTCAATATAAATAAAGGTAGGCCTAATAGACATAGATTTATATAGCAATAAACAGTGATTATACCAAATCTGACGATATTCTATAACATGTCGTCCTGTTTATATTAAAGCTGTATACCCAATTAAACAATTTAATAGCTTATTTAAAATGATCGAAATCAGATGGTAGTAAGAACAAACTTTATTAACAGAAAAAAAATCCCTAAGTTCTCAGCCAGTGAATTCAATTTCAATTTATTGTCATTTGCAACGCTCACATTACATTACATAGAAATTACTGTGGCTTCTTTTTCACATTACAACTAAGTACAACGCAACAGACGGAGTAGCACTAAAGAGAGAAATATCAGAGTAACAGAGGTAATCAGAGTACGGAATCAGAGTACGGAATCAGAGTACGGAATCATAAAGCATACAGCAAATTAATATATTCACTCTCTGTTAATTGGCAGGGATTTTTTCTCATAAAAATGTTTAATTGTAAAATTGTAAGTTAGCAACATATATCCAAAGTACTTACTCACTAAGGCGTTTGTCAACAAGAA